CGTTCATGGCGGCGACGATGTGGGCGTGTATGCGTCCGGTCCATGGGACCACCTATTTTGTGGCGTCATGCAACAAAATCTGCTACCTCACATGATGGCCTACTCCAGTTGCATAGGTGATGGTCCGAAAATGTGTGATAAAACGAAAAGTTAAGACAACAACGATATGGACTTCTTACGCAACGGACATATTTGTATGTAGATATAAGTAGTATTTGCACACCTTAACCTCATTACCGTAATTGTAATTGATAGTTGATTTTTTAGACTAATTCATTCATGTCTCATAATTAGGGTCATAAATTTTATAAGGGTTAAAAAATGTTAAAGCGATTCTCGACAATCACAAAATATTTGTATCCGCCATGCGGTTTATGCCACGATCGCAGTATATATATCTGTTATGACGGTTAGTGAATCCCTTAACCATAACCTTGACTAAAAAAACACCATTCCAGCATTTCATATACTTTAAGCAAATATTAAGTCTTACACATACATATGTATGTATGTATGTTAGGTAAAATGATTTAAAATAAAAATTTAAAGAACAACTCACTAAAACTGCCTCTTTCACCTTGAAATGTATATAAAAAAAAAAAAAATTGGAAACATGTTAACCTTCGTTTTTATCGAAAAATATCTGGCGGATTTACATGAATATGAACAATATATCAATCGCCTCGTTAACTCCCATTCACATCGCAAGTATCTTCTGCAATGCACAAGGTAAACATTTTCGCACACTTCAGCTTCTGCTTTTGCTGCTGGTTGATTCGCATTCACAAGGTAAAATATAAATTTACTGTTTATCTTAATTAATAAATTATTTGGAAAGACTAGTCAAATATGAAGATGAATAATCTGAGTATTCGAATTATTTATTATTTAAATTTGGGCATTAAACATTGCAAATGCTTCTTTTCCTTTATATGTACGTATGCATGCACATACATACATGCATGTTTGTACATGGGTCGTTCTTAAAAAACATGACCAATTGGTGTCCCCAGACTTTACTATTTTATATTTTGTTTCTTCAAAAAGAAAATAGAAAAATATCTGCATTTTTATAAATTATTATCGATTCTACGTAACTATATTATAAAAAAAAATAATTAATTATCTGAAAATAACTTAAAAAATATTTTCAATGTCAAAGGTTTAGCAAAAACCTGTGTCCCGAGCCAATTTATAAAAATTTAATAGTTATTTTCAGTTGAAATAAAATTGAAAAAAAATAATATTTACAATTTTTGTTATTCAGTTTGTGTATATTAATACCATATATAGAAAAGAATGATGAAAAATAATTTTTTTGTATAATTTTTATGAAGAAAATTTGTGTCCCCAGGTTTTGGTCCCCTCTGTTACGTCCACTCATTTTATTGAAAAATGTTTGTTAAACGTTATGACGCGTATATTTCTCTTATGCTTCTCCATCATAACTTAGCTAAAATCAACAAAATGTGTTTTGAACTGTTCAGTCTTGTTTAGTGCGTTGTTGAGTAAGGAACCCAATTGTATGCCGGGTACGTACCCTTATTCAGTGTCAACTCTGTTACTGTTGAAAAACGGTGAGTAAAGTGATTTTTTATTTATTTTATAATTTTTTTATAAATATTTTATGTACATTAATTAAGTGGACAAATAAATTCTCCAAAATTCGAATAAAAAGCTAAAATATGGTATTTTTGAGTTAATTTGTCCCCTCTGTTACCGGTCCACTCTGTGACTTATTAACTCCAAAAACTCCAAAAATTAAAAAAAATACTGCTGGTTATGGATTCCTATTGTTGATACCATCCGTAACCACATGAGGCCAATTATAAACATATTTGGCCAACTTAATTTTTAAAAATTACAAAATTCAGAATGGTCATGTTTTTTAAGAACGACCCACATGTTGTCGTTTAAAGCAGAAAACCGCGTATCAACAAAATGCAACTTCGAACCTTCCGAATGTACGAACATTTGAATGAAATTATTTTTAAAAAGTAAATGGCAAAATTGTTCCTTCGGGTAGTAATAAAGACGATGTTTTATTTTAAATGAAAAAAGGTATAGATGGATAACCCGTTATTTTTAAGTATTTATGCGAAATATATTAAATAGTAGGCGCGGCTGCAAGATGGTGTCCGCCGCAGAGCAAGTGACTATATATATATGTAAATATATAATAATAACGCCTCCTAACGGTAATGACTCTAAATTACGGAAAGAGGACTACATTTTACCGATAAACACCTGGAATATACGGACACTCTGTAGGGAAGGCTCTTCTATCCAATTTCTGTATATTTTAGATAAGTGTAAGGCAATGATTGCTGCGCAGTCTAGGAAATGCGAAAGATGAGATATGATATGCTGCGTAAGGCATTTATGATAACAATGACACTGGCTTTATTTTAAGCCGACATTCATGCCTTTATATATGGCCGCAGGCACTGTTTCAGGCGGCCGCTCCGATTTTTGGTAAGTCGATAGGATCGAATACATTTGGATTGTGTTTGTTTCAATAACGCCTATTTACTTGTTGACACAGCCGCTGACCCAAACAAAAATGGGCCTCGTCCGAGATGATGGTTTCTTGGCCAAAATCCAGATTACCGGCAACATTTGCCCAATAGCCGAACTCAGGGCGTTGTCTAGCGTTTCTTATACGGATCTAGGCACATATCTTAACGCAAATTAAGCCCAGTTGACTTTCTGGCGTTGCTCAATTCAGGTGATCGGCCCTAAATCGACATTTATATGCCTTCAACGGTACTACCCGCTACGGCGGCTTTGTTTTCTCCACTTCAACAGCATACAAAGCCACTCTACAGCCAATAGATACGCTACAGCTACAGTTGAGTGATATCGGGGAAAGATTGGTGAGAAGATAAATGTTAAAGAGAATGAAAATATACATAAATGTATGTGAATTCGAGAAGTTTTAAATGCTGGCATGCGGCACTGTGGCCTGAAAATTTTCTGTGAAAATTTGATAGGCTTTGCAGACATAGACTTCGAAAGGACACTTGAGATATGGAAGGATCACTTTTCATTGGCGACAGAGATACCGCATTGGTCGAAGAAGAATCCTGACTAATATACGCATGAAACTCAGGCCTTTCCACCATAACAACACGAGGCGAGACCAGAAATAACCAATTCCCCTGAAGCTGCCGGATACCGGTTGAGCCGGTCAAATCCGGCTGTAAAAATCTAGTTGGGCGCAGTTACCATCTGACGCAATTTGGTATAATGAATACATGCCCGAATACAGGAATCTTAAGGCACTTCCACAAGATCCAAAAGAATGGAGATCCAACCGTTTGCGCTAATAACAATGGTTTACAATTTGTCAACATTGCTCATGATATCCTATCGGCAAATTGTGTGAAAAATTGCAAACAAAAGTTGGCTTCAAAGCCTCCAAACAGAAAGTATTTTTGAAAATTGCATACTTTCAGGCGTACCTAGTACTCATGCAAATTTGTGTGCTTTTATAAGTGCATGTAATTCGTATAAAAACATGACTCCATAGGAAGACTCCCTCCAACTTCTGCAAATTCGTAAATGTTCACGATAAGTTTTCATGATTTCTATGAACTTAATACAAAAAGCGCATATACTCGCATTTAAACACTTTATCGACAGCAGCTCATGGGAGAGCTTTTCTCATATTTCGTTTATATGTAGAAAGCCTCTACCTAAAGAGTTAATATTCCACTGGGGTGCCACAAAAAAATACTTTCGCTTGTGTTTCGCATGAGCTCGAGGTTTTGAACTGGAAACCTCTGGGTAATCATTTAGTTGATTTTTCAAGAACCTTTAAATAAAACAAATAAGAAAACCTTAAAATTTTTTTTAAGGTAATGTTAAACGAAAAAATGTGATGCTATTGATTGAGTATTTTGAAAATAATGTGTAACTCGTTTTGTTATGTATTTATTTTTTTTTTTATATGTTTCGGAATTTTTCTGAACTTTTTCTGAAAGTTCTGAACTAAATAAAACGATGGAACCACCTTAATTCTTATAATTTTTTTCATTGCTAACTAAAATATTTTTTATACGCACTTCACATTGAAATTTAATTAATTTTGATGTGACCACATACATCATTACCTTCTCGTGACAGATTCGAATATTTTAGTAATTTTCTGATATGTACACAAATGCAAGGTGGGGCAGCTGCAAAAATTGGGGGTTCTCTATCTGCAAGCGCTGATGTTGCTGAATTCGTTCGAAAAGTCGTTGGACCCCCGCTGAAACCAAGGGGGCATCACCTACATATGTTAGCTGTAAAAGCCTACCAGCTGAATGGTCTTCCGATATTGGACGTCGAGGGTAAGCACGAAGCGGTCGATAATCATGAGCAGGAGTCAGTTGCTGTTATGTCGGGCATTGTCAGCACAGGTGCCACTATTTCATCAGCTTGAGCTTTCAGAATATCTGCCTCAATTAAACTGCAAAGTAATCTCAAAAAATGTGGATTGATGCTGGTGGCGACTTTTAGAAACGAATTCTATCTAATGATCCTTACCGGCGCTATAGCGAATACGTTTGGAAATATTTACAAATAGCGATCAAAATCGATAATTATTTTTTAACTTTAATAACTTAAAGAAAATTAACTGGCTTCAACCATTAGTGTTTTTTATCCACCCTATTTCGTTGGTATGTCCACAGATAAGTAGAGATAAAAGCTCGCTCACTCTAGTAGCAAAATCCAATGTATGTATGTATTCGAGTACCAAAGCGCTCTCGCGCCACTTAGGTACAGGTAAAAGCATTAACAGACGCGTTGTACGGGCAACATTTGCTGGCTAACAGCAGCAAGAAACCGGCCGTGAAGAGACAATAACAGCTAGCAGTAGCAGCAGCAACATCAACATCAACAACAACAACATCAGCAGCAGAGACGGAAGTAACAGCAACGGCAACCAGAAAGCGGCCAAGCGACCAGGCGGCATTTTGTAAACGTTGACGGTAAACAGTCAGCAGCGATGCTTTCATTGGGGCAACAGCATCAATTTTTGGAGGCTGTTGCATAAAGCGAGTATAGTTAAGAGATAAAGTAAATAAAAAACGATAAGTAAGAGAGCGAATGCAAACAAATTCTAATTAAAAAAATAGTAGAAAAAAAATTCAGCAGCTGAGACAGTGAAGTGCAAGTGCATTAAGAAATATATACATATATGTATGTATGTAGTAAGTACATGAGTATGTTACGCTTTCAAAAAGTATTACGAAAAGTGACACCAGCGTTGTACAATAACTCAAACTGCAAAGCTATGGTTAGCACTTGAATAGGAGTTAAAAATACACTTGAAAAAAAAAACTAATCGCGCTCTAAAAGGTGTGCATATGTATCTAGAATGTAGAAAAGTAAATATATAATAAAGATTTATTAAAAACAAACGATTAGCCAGTCATTGTTACAAAAAAAAAAAAAATATGCCAATAAACAAGTGGTGAAACTACACGCTTATTACCGTTAAACAAAGCAAGCGCTATCACGTTGAATCGCAGTTACACACGGTCGGCTAGTTGTTGAGCTGCACGCTTCCAACTGGAGATTGCACGAATTAAGGCGAGGAGCCGGCCCCCCCTCCCCCCCTCTTTATTATTCATATTTATATGTTACACACAAATGTTTGTACTTATTTACATATATGTATGTATGTTTGTATGTATGGAAGCGTATAAATTGTGTTTTAAAATCTGCATACCCCCCTTCCCCCCCCCCCCCCCC